CCTCCGTCCGCCGAGGAGCCCGAGGTCCGGCCGGACGGAGAGGGCTCCCCGGGAAAGGCCAGGCCGGCGGTCGCCCGGAGACCCGGGGCCACCGCGCCCGCGGACCGGGGCGACCGGGGGCCCCCCACTAGCGTGGCGGCGCTTAGGTCCAACTTCGAGAGGATCCGCAAGGGCCATGGCCAGCCCGGGGCAGCGGACCCCGAGAAGCCCTTCTACGTGAACGTCGAGTTTCACCACGAGCGCGGCCTGGTGAAGGTCAACGACAAAGAGGTGTCGGACCGGATCAGCTCCCTGGGCAGCCAGGCCATGCAGATGGAGCGCAAGAAGTCCCAGCACGGCGCCGGGCAGGGCCTGGGGGACGCACCCAGACCATCTTACCGGGGGCGCTCCTCGGAGAGCAGCAGCTGCGGCCTCGACGGTGATTACGAGGACGCCGAGCTGAACCCCCGCTTCCTGAAGGACAACCTGATCAATGCCAATGGCGGCAGCAGGCCCCCTTGGCCGCCCCTGGAGTACCAGCCCTACCAGAGCATCTACGTCGGGGGCGTGATGGTGGAAGGGGAGGGCAGGGGCCCGCTCCTGCGCAGCCAGAGCACCTCGGAGCAGGAGAAGCGCCTCACCTGGCCGCGCAGGTCCTACTCCCCTCGGAGCTTTGAGGACAGCGGAGGCGGCTACACACCGGACTGCAGCTCCAACGAGAACCTCACCTCCAGCGAGGAGGACTTCTCCTCCGGCCAGTCCAGCCGCGTGTCCCCAAGCCCCACCACCTACCGCATCTTCCGGGACAAGAGCCGCTCGCCCTCGCAGAACTCGCAGCAGTCCCTGGACAGCAGCAGCCCCCCCACGCCGCAGTGCCAGAAGCGCCACCGGCAGGGCCAGGTCGTCGTGTCGGAAGCCACGATCGTGGGCGTCCGCAAGACTGGGCAGATCTGGCCCAGCGATGGGGACAGCTTGTCGGGCAGGCTGCCTCAGGACGGCACCTTCCAGGGAGACACAGGTGGGTACCTCCACCACCGTGGGTGGGCACACCTGCACCCTGCCTGGAAACCGTTGAACATTTAGGGAGAGAAAAGGGGAGGTGGAAGGAGGAGGAACAGGTAGATACTTTCTTGAGTGATTTTCAAATTCTGCTGTGGATAGGAAGGATTTGCACTGATCCTGCGCCTGAACGGAGTCCATCCCGCCTCCTCCTGAATGTGGATTTCCAGGGTTTGGAATAGGATTGGGTTGGGAGGGGTGGTGTGTGGATGGTAGGTGGTTTGTTCTTTGGTTCTAGAGTGGTGTGCTTCTCTGTGGGTTGGGACCGGGATGCCCTGGACAGCCATCTCCTTGCCCTCTGATCCCTCCAAGCTAGGCAGTGGGGATGGTATAAAGAGGGGGTCATTTCTGCAGCCTAAAACAGATGCTTTTAGCAAGGATTGTTGTGTGTCTTGGACATTCCCCGCCACCCCACCGTTCCGGAAGAGATATGACACATTTGGGAACCCAAGATTTGCTAGCTGCTTCCAGGCCATCAAAATGCCAGATTCACTTGCTAGCCAGCAGCCCCGAACATGAGTCCGGGCTGGTGAGAATATGCATTAGAAGGAAGTAAGGTGACAGGCCGTTTTGACTCAGTGGGCCTCGGAAAATCAACAGGGTGAAGATTTTATCCAGGGCCCGAGCAGAGCCACACCCATTCTGATCTGCCCTGCTTGGATGGGAGATATCACCCGTCATTACTCACCCACCTTCTCCATGCGCCTTACCCCTGCTCCATTTTCTCATCTCGTTGTGCTCTTGCCTCCTCGTCTTCCCAAGGATGAGTGCCCACGGGTGCTTGTTTTGGGCTCCCAATCCGTGGTCTGACTCTTGGCCCTAAGATTAAACCTGTTGGAAGTCTCTAACTTCTGGGCTGTGTACCATTAGGTGTTGGGGCGATGGCAGTAGGTTTTGAGATCCAGGCATAGTTTGCGATTGGGGCAAGGAAAGGGTAGGTGGGTGTGGGGGAACCTCTCCGAGTCCTGGTCCCTGTTGGACTGATCCGGTTTTCCGCTCCATTGATTTTTCTTTTTCTGCTGATGGAGTTGTATGTGCTTCCTTGTCAGAATCCTCTTGAAATAAGTGAGGCTATTTTTGGCTCTGTAAGTGGCCTTTTTGTGATCAGCACTCTGTCCTGTTTGTTTTAGGTACAGCCAGTTGCTGATCTTCCATTTGCAGCTGGGGGTGGCTGTGATGTGGCCTGGCCCAGCTGTATGCCCTAAGTGCCCCGTTAGCGGGCGGGGGGTGGGTGGGTGGGGAGCCTGTAGTATTTAGAAGCCTGCTTTGCAGGCACATCAGCTCTTCCGGGGTCTGGAGGATTGCTTTGTGGTCACTGGGCACCAGCCTTGTCTGGTCAGCTGTCAGCCAAGCGAGCTAGCTTCAACTGGCCGTCAGTGCCATGGTTTGGGAGAACGTTATTAATAAAGAAGAAAATGAGAGGTTTTCGTGGAGACCTGCAATCTAAAATGGTCTTTTGCTGGTGGGGAATTTTGAGTTTCCAGAAATGGGGCCCATTCGGATGGATATGTTTCAGTGGGCCTCCCTGTGGGCCCGCCTCTCTTAGAGCTCCTGCTCCTGTAGACGTGAGACCCCAGTGCCCTGTGTAACGCAGGGAAGGTTCTCAGTAAATGGCTGAGGAGTTACTTTTACAACTTCGACCCACTCTTAGTACTTTCTGGATCCTTCTCTGAATGTCCTCAAGGTCCCATGTTCTGTCTTCGTTAGGTCCTAAATCTTCTGGTTGTTTTAGCTCTGGGAGCCTTCAGACTCTGTACCCTGTACTCTCCTCTGAGGGTTGTGGCTGGCAGGGAAGGAGGGGCTCAGCCATCTGTCTCTGTCCGAACTGTTGACTGATGTTCTTTAGACGGCTGTGCGGCCTGCTGGCCAGGGCTGCGCCTCTGAAAAGGGACAGTGAGGGAAATCACAGTGTGAGGAGGGAGTAGAAGTCACCCTAATTTGCTGAAGCAGCAGCAGCAGTAACAGCAGCAGATGAGGGGCCCGGATCTAATAGTCTCTGATCCCTTTGGATGGATGAGCGGGCTCTCAAGTTTCTGAGTTCAGGGCCCCTGGGTTTGAGGGAAGGAGCTGAAATGACCACCCTCTGCTCTGTGCCAGGCATGCTGACAGTGTGCTTCATGCAGGGCCCCTCGTGGGCTCTTACATCACCCCGTGGTGGAGCTGCTCATCTACAGGTAAGGACGCCACCAGGAAGTGGCAGAGCTGGGACTCCGGGCCCCTGTGGGAGTGCTGAGCCATTCCTTCTGGAATGCGATGGCCTTAGGGTATTCTTCCCACTGCCCCATACTTCGCCTGAAAAGCATGACTGTGTCAGTCCAGGGGTCCTTCCAGCCCCCTGTGGGGCCAGTAACAGCTGTGAGCCCTCCTGTGTGCAAGCCCTTCTGTTTGTACTGTGTGGGTTCCATAGAAGGGGAGAGTGTGTTCCTTGCCATCTGGGAGCTTACAAGTCAATGGGAGAGAGGAACACACACATCATTTGTGTGTTTAGAAGAAGTGAGGTCAGGGAAGCTTCTGGAAGCAGCAGCACTAGAGAGCGACCTTGCCTCTCAGCACAAGTCTAGTGGCAGGGTGGGGGGAGCCGTCTGCCCGCAGGAGCGGTGGCTCAGGGACACCCATGTCACCCTCTGTGACTCTGAACTGTGTGCCTTTTAATTTTATTATCGTAGTAAAATATACATAACATAAAATTTACCATCTTAACACATTTTAGCCGTTTTTAAGTGTACAGTTCAGTGGCATTAACTACATTCACATTGTTCTGCAACCATCACCACCATCCACTTCCAGAACTCTCTTCGTCTCACAAAACTGCAATTCCATACCCGTTGAACAACAACTCCCCATTCCTCTTCCTCAGCCCTTGGCAACCACCATTCTACTTTCTGCTTCTGTGATTTGACTACTCTTGGTACCTCATGAAGTGGAGTCATACAGTATTTGTCCTTTTGTGTTTGGCTTATTTCGCTTAGCCTCAAGTCCCCAAGGTTCACGCATGTGGTAGCACAGACTGTGTGCGTTTTGAAGGCAGGGATCCCTGGTTCATTTCCTGGTCTCCCGTGGAGCCTGGCTCAGAGCCGACACAGCACACGCTGACCATCCCTTCCTCGTTTACACGGCTGTGGGGTCGGGACGGGGAAGGTGGCAGATGGGAAGCGTCTTATCAGCTGCGCCTTCTCTTCCACACTCCATCCCTGCCCTTTACCTTCCCTTCCAGAGGACTTCAGTGAGCGCTTGCTTGAGAGAGAAGGCCAGACAACCCAAGGCCCTTTCCTCTTTTAGGTCCGAGAAATTCTTGATCTGAATACCCAGCCCCGTGTGCCCCTCGGCCCTTTTCCAGATATCACTTGTGAGATGTGAGCCAGCTCTTGTGTTTCTTCGTGGGCTCTCGTGTGAGTTGCTGCCCCGTGTTTTCACATTTCTGCTGAGCAGCTTAATTTTGCCCTTTGGATTCTGGTGATGTGTTCTTGCCAGAATGATCACTGCTTTGTTTTTCCCTTGGGTGATTGAATGGACTGACGACCAGTCTGGGTGAGTAACTGGGGCCGTAAAAGGTCACTGGCCTCGCTTTGGCTCCATCATCGTCTCTTTAGACCGGAGCCTGTGGCCGCCTCTGGTTTCGGTATAGGCTCCTCTCCATCAGCAGAGGCAGAGTGGACAGATCTGGCTGGAGTCTGAGACGGCTTAAGTCATCAATAGGGTGGAAACGGAGTTCAGATCAAATTTTACAAGGGTTCTCGGGCTCAGGAAGGGTGGCTTCCTTGTTGGGGGAACAGAATGAAGCATTCTGGAAACTTTCACCAAAGAAGGAGCTGGGAGTGCTGTTGGTTTGCGTGGGTCCAAGGGAATGTGCCTCTCCAATTTCTCCCTTTTGGCTCGTTTGTTGCTTCTGGCTTCAGTTGCCACCCCCCCCCCCCCGACCTTGGCCAGGAGTCGTGTGGCCGAGGGCTTGTGTATGTGACTGCTGCCCTCACCAGGACCGGGAGTCCAGGTGAGCCATGTGCTAAGGCCTACCTGGGAGAGGACACAGCAGTGCATAAGGCACGGCTGCAGCTCGTGCCTGTAGTTGGGGGCAGGGAAGGACGACGCCATGTTCATGGTGGATGGTTGGGCATCTTCAGGTGTTCTCAGGTTGCCAGGTAATAGGCCTGAGTTTTGACTGAAGCTACTTTTTAGATCAAGGCTCAGAGGGTAGTGGTGGATTAAATTAACTGTGAACCCCGCGGGGGTTCTTAACTCTGACTGGGATACAATTCCTGTGGCTCATGTAGGATTTTTTTCTTTGAAAAATGTAATTTTAATTAAAATGTGTTATTTACGTAATGTGATAGTTTTTTTATTGTAAAATATACATAACAAAATGTGCCATTTTAACCACTGTTAAGTGTGCAATTCGGTGGCAGTAAGTACGTTCAGAGTTTTGTGCAGCCATCACCACTGTCCATCTCCAGAACTTTTTATCACTCCACCCAGAAACTTGGGACCCATTAAGCAGCCTGGGCCTCCAGCCCCTGACAACCGCCACTCCACTTTCTGTCTCCATGAATTTGCTTATCCTGAGTATCTCATACAAGTGGAGTCTATGATATTGTTCCTTCTTCTTTGTCTGGCTTATGTCATTCCAGTAGGGCTTTGAAGTTGCTGGGAGCAGCATTCTCACCCTTAACCCTGGTCTCTGGGCCTTGATAAGTGTTTCTCTTCAGGAAAGCACCTGTTAGTGAGATCTGCTGGCTTTCACACCCTTGTTTTGAAGTGGCCAGTGTACTAGTTGCTAGGGCTGCTGTAACAAAATACCACAGACTGGGTGGCTTAAACAACCGAAGTTTATTTTCTCTTCAGTTCTGGAGGCTGGCACATTGGTTTCCTCTAAGGCCTCTCCCCTTGACTTGCAGATGGCGGCCTCCTTGCCACCTCCTCACATGGTCTTCCCTCTGTGCATGCGCACCCCTTGCTGTCTCTCTC